CTTAGGTTTGCTAGGCGCCCATATGCTGCAACAGTCATTTGGTTGATGTGCGCTTCAGATGTGCTCGGTATTATACTCACCCCAAGATCCTTTTCCTTGAGTGAGGCTTGCAGTCTTTGGCGGTCTTGTTTGCCTTTCCCCAATCTTCATGACTTTGCACTTGGTGGGGCTGAACTCCAAGAGCCAGTTGCTGGACCAGGCCTGCAGCCTATCCAGATCCCTTTGTAGTTCTACTTGGTCCTACTCCGATTGAATTCTCCTCATTAACTTCACATCGTCTGCAAACAGGAATATTGCTGAGTCTGTTCCTTCCGTCATGTCATTCACGTATACCAAAAAGAGCACTGGTCCTAGGACTGACTCCTGTGGAACCCTGCTCGTCACAGGCGCCTACTCTGACACCTCGTCACATACCAGGACTTGCTGATACCTTCCCATCAGGTATTTTCTGATCCATTGTAATGCCTTCCCTGTTATACCTGCCAGGTCCTCCACCTTTTGCACTAATCTCTTGCGTGGAGCTATGTCAAAAAACTTCTTACATTTCAAGAAATGCAATCTACCCACCCCCCCCTCTCTCTTTCTTTGTCTTACTGCTATCCCCTTGTCTTAGAACTCCAGTAGGTTTGCGACACATGATTTCCCATCCCTGAATCCGTGTTGCTCCACCACTCCTCTGATAATCTTCTCCGTGACTTTGGATACTATACGTTAGTAACACTGGTCACTCACGTAAGTACGTACGTGCGTGTACGTGTACTCAGTTGTGGTTGCATGGGTAGAGCCACAGCTCCTGTGTGTGTGTGTGTGTGTGTGTGTGTGTGTGTGTGTGTGTGTGTACACCGAAATAAACAACTTAAAAATATATATATATATTATATATATATATATATATATATATATATATATATATATATATATATGCTGTCGCACTAAGAAGATAAAAATGGATATTAAAAATAGTGAAGACACATGGAAAATATACATCAGCTCCGGATACAATGAACATATTCATTTCTTCCTCTGGATGTTCTACAGTTAGTGTAAAAAAATATTAATCGTAACTGGAGTCTAACGAAATATATTAAAAAACAAAACCCAATTAAAAATGTATAATTAATGAATAAATATTTAACTTTTCTATAATGAAATCACTGCAGTTCATTTGTGTGCATAAGATTATTTATTACGATACAAACTAATCTGGGCGACCACGACGATTAATTAAACTTTGTAATGATTAAATAAAATTTATTGTTTTTACAGTCGTACCTCAGACGCTACTCCCCGACATTCAGATTTTTATTACCGTCATCACAGGTGACTAACAGTCCACTGGTAAAAACGTTCGCTCACAACAGAGCGTCAATTCGATTCCGTGTCGGAGTGCAACGAACTGGTGTCGCCGAACACTTGGTGCCCCTGTTTATCTGGCAGTAAGTGGAGCATGAAAGTCACGACATCGTGGCCGGAAAATTCGAAAGTTACCTACAATTTTGTTACGAATCTTCAGACGGATTTTCCATCCATCCTCAACCATTATGAAGAGGCGAGGTGCGATTTAGTCCTAAAAAAGGGAACAGCTAGTTGATAGCGGTTACTGAAGAGTTGAGTTTACTCCTTATTTCCAGTAATGAGGAGAATCAGGATTGGGTAGAGAGAGAATTGTAGATACATAGATCTTGACGGCAGTGGACGACGGGTGAGAAGGATGTAGACAGACACCGACCATACGAGGAGACGGAAGAACAACGAAGCTTGATATGTTGAAAGACAAGGTGAGAATATACCTAGAGGGTTTTCCGAGAGGTCAACGGCCCCCGCGGCCCGGTCAACGACCAGGCAGGTAAATGAAGACACGAGATATGCTGAACAATCATTCATTTGGACAATTAATACACATATGGGGAGTCATTCATACTTCAGAGAAGTCATATCTGGGAGAAATCATACCTGGGAGTCATACCTGGGAGGAGTCTTACCTGGGGGGAGTCATACCTGGGGCAGTCATACTTGGGGGGAGTCATACCAGGGAAAAGTCATACCTAGGGGGAGTCATACTATTTAACAACATCAACAAATCTGCCTGCACGCAAACCAGACTCAGTAGGAACTACCATGGCTCTGAGATGCATCAGTTGTTAAATATAAAGGGTTCAGAAGGGGTTTTAAACTAAATTTTCCCCCTTAACAAGTTTTAACTGAAAAAAAAATTTTCGCACTATTTCCAGACAAAATCGAAAAAATTTGCAGCTACCCATTTAAATTTTAATCCCGCCGTAGTTAAATTTTTTTGCACCTCTTTTAAACTTTTTGTAGCCACGCCATGGGGGTTTCCCAAAAAATTTTCTGACCCATTCCAGAAGCAGGGAATGAGTTCAATAATTTTCGTAAAATTGGCACGTAAACATGCCAAGTGTTTCCAAAATTTCGTTCCTGATTCTTTTTTTTTTTAAGATTTTTTAAGCATAGAAAAAATAATCAAAGTTAGAAAAATCCTCAATTATACAAAATAATACACAGCTTAATAGAGGAAAAAAAATTAACTAAGAGTTAGGTGTACAAAGCAACAGGAAGTGGGGAAAATTGGCGCGTGCAAAAAAAAAAAAATGGCGTGGAATGTGAAAATTGGCGCTGGCGCGGCTGTTTTTGTTCGCACCCAATTATGTGTTCGTGACCAGATGCAGAAATCTGGCAAATTTTTTGGTCGTGAACCGATTTGTTCGTGTTCGGAAGCGTCCGTGACCAGAGGTTCCACTGTAAAGAGTAAGGTAATTACTGCTCACCAGGATACCACTAACCTATCTTCTAATCCTCCGAAATGAAACTATTCCATGATTCCGAAGTCGAATGTCATCACTCCCTTGCTGAAACAACCAATGGGAAACGATGCCACGAAACTGATTCAAATACCTGGTGGCAAGCACATTCTTCACTAGGTCACCACTATACAAAAAAGGACACTGGCCTGTCTAGGTCCATTAAGTTTGATCACAGATTGTCCTTTGAGATCTTGTAAATGTTGGGTCACATGGTCTCTCCTCATTGCGCGTCTTGACTACCGCCTCAGCTGGATGACCACATATGTGGGCTGTTGCCCTTCTTTATTAAATGTTTGACGGCGAGTAGACAATAGGTTGAAGTGTTTTCCAAAGAACCGAAGCACCGACATATAGGCGCCGACCATCCTCCACCAAGCCATTGAATCGATACACACACATCAGCAATCGTTTTATCAACAAAGATAATAAATCCACAACCCACTGCCTCGTCTTGCAGGAAGGAAGCAACCTAACACTCCTCAGGATAGAAATAACATCACCATTCTTATCAGTATTACTGAAATACAGAGCCCCCGGCACTATGATGTCTTCAGAGCCGCCCTCAGCGACAACAACCGGCTGACCAGCCAAGTCTAACTGTGAATCGTTGTCATGAACTATGTCCGAGCAAGAGTTATAGGCAGTTGCTTTCACAGAGAAATTGGGAAAGGATGTTGGTGCCTCAACAGACAAATGTTAAGTGATATAGAAGGAAGAGAGCAGTGCAGGAGGAGCAACTGTAAATTACTGTACCAGGGTAAGGGTGTGGTTCCCATTACCCAACAAGGGGCACAGCCACGGAGACCTTGTCCACAAGTGAAGGAGCAACGTGCAGCAAAAACTGTCCATTTAGACTGGAAGTACCAGAAGCACTAGTAGCATTCAGCTAAGCGTGAGCAAACTGACAAGAACACCAAGAGATGAAGGCCTTTAGTCAGTACTCCAGAATGATCGGAGGACCTACAGTAATACCTTCACCACAAGTCACTGGATATACAACCCATTACACCACTTGGTTCTTCATCAGGTCCAGATGACGATCCAATCCATTTGGGTGTTGCGCATCATCTTAACACTGCAAGTGGTGGGAACACAGAGAGAATCAATGACTCCTTCAATAACCCCACTGAAAAAATAACGAATAAATAAAATATTTCCCTCCGCGTAAGCCAAGGAAAGAAGGGAAGGGGAGCTAGGTTGTCAGTCAGGGTGGGTAGGTAGGCAGGTAAGCAGGCACGCAGGTAGTTAGGCAAGTAGGTAGGTAAGGTTTTGTATCAGTGTGGTGTGATAAGTTTGGTTAATTTTATTATATTTACAAAGCACTAGAACCATTTTGTTTTTCAGCGCATTAAATATATTTTAGTTTTGCTTCCAAACTTTCACTATCATTATCAATTTGCTACCATCCTGGCCACTTCATTCTATCATATGAATCATAATCATAAAGAAAGTAAAACTATTCAAAGTATTTCACACATTCCACAACCATTATCAAAAATTCTTTCCGCATCATTGGCAATGTTAGTAAATTTATATTAAAGGGAAAATATCTTTAACATTTATGCCGAGAGAGTTGCTGCATTCCTAGCACCCTGTGGGGCTAGCTAGAGTGACACTAACAGGTGACCTTCCAACAGGGACGAAGGGGGAAGTAGTGGGAAGTCTTATCACCTGTGTGGCGAAGTAGCTGAAGGTTTCAAACGTGTGGTAGGTACGTAGGCATGGTTTTTATTTATGTTGTAGGCAGGTAGGCAGGCAAGGCTTTCATTTGTGTGGCAGGTAGGGTGTTTCACTCTTGTGCTAGGTAGACAGATAGGATTTTCTACCTGTGTAATAGGAATGTAGAGAGGTAGGGTCTTTCATGTATTTAGTAGGTATATACGTGGGTAGGCTTTTCACCTAGGTGGTACGCAGTCAGGTAAGTTTTTCCATCTGTGTAGTGGGTATTTAAGTATGTTTTTTTTTACCTGTGTGGAAGACAGGGAAGATTTTTACGTGTATGGTAGGTAAGCAGAATGGTGGTTTTCACCTGCGTACCTGTGTGATAGATACCACACATGTAGGTACCTACCTACATGTGTTGTAAGTAGGAAATTAGACCTTTTACCCATGTAGTAGGTAGGTAGAATACCTCAACTGTATGGTAGGCAGGCAGGTATGGTAGGCAGTGTTTCTCACCTGTGTTGGCCGGTAAGAGTGAGGGGCGTGGTCTTGGCCCCTCTGGTTGTGGTGTCCTCGTAGGTAATCCTCAAGCTGGTCGATCACTACCTCCTCTCCACTCACGTCTGGAACAACACATGATGACAATTATTATCACTAAGTCATGCAGAAGTAACTCATCACGTATGTATAATTCATCGTTCATCTGTAATTCGAAACTGATTTATTATTTCCAAAGGGAGGCGAGTAGGAAACATGTAAATCTAACTCATTATAAACTTATGGCCATCATGTCATCGTAACTCATCGTAAAGCTGAATGAAATTCTTTAGTATTCAGCTCACAACCAAAACGAAGGACAAAAAGGCACGATGCTGTGACTGGAAGAATACACAGTTAACCCGCACATGGGAGAGAGAGGAGTTTATGACGACGTTTCGGTCCGATTTGTACCATTTACATGTCACACTTGTAAATGGTGTTATTTTTGTACACTACCGGGAGAAGCAACACGGATGGGCAGGTCTCCTAACAGATGCTGTACCTGTAAGCTAGTAAAAAGTAAGACACACATGCAAGTGTGTTAGTAAGACACACATGCAAGTGTGTTAGTAAGACACATGCAAGTGTGTTAGTAAGACACACATGCAACAGTTAGATATCTTTATTCCGAAATGTTTCGCCTTCATAGTAGGCTTCTTCAGTTGAATACAGAGGCAGTAGAGATGTAAAGACAATGTAGCTAGGAATTAATTGACTGTCTGAGAGCCTCAACCATGGGTAAATTTAAACCCAGATTATTATTATTATTATAATCATGGGAAGCGCTAAACCATTTAAACCCAGAAAACAAAAATTCCACGGCTTGTGATAAACATATCAATCTTAAAATTAAGCGATACTTCCGAATTAATCACTGGAATTTTATAAAAATTTGTGGAACACAACCAGGAATATTCAATATAATTTCGTAATTCTATATAACTGTAGCAAACATAAACTTCGTAAGATCTGCGAGAAAAATGGAACATGATCATCGATGTTCCAATTTAGGATCGGAATTCAAACGTCGTCTGCGCCGCCGTCAGAGGCGCCAGGAGCAGCCCAGCTGCCCCGTCATTTGATCTCTGTCATTGGTCGGATGAACTTAATGCTCCACTGCACAAGCATTTTCTCATTACTCTTCGCCATTGTTATATATCATATTTAACCTTATATAATAACCGTGCGTTTATTTAGAATAATGCAGTACATTAATTATTTCCATATCTGGGAACCAAACACAATTTCATCAAGGAAAGAAATATTTCTAATAAATTTTCGTTTCTTTTCGGAATTTGGTAGTCAAAAAGGTCTTACCTGGGTGGAGCGAGACCCTTAAAACTAAAACAAAACCAAGCTACTCATCCTGCCCATGCAGCAGCTGATAACCGCGTTTCATTTGAGTGGAAGAGAGCTTGGTTTAGGCTGCAGGAAGACTTGGCTTCTTATCTAAGGACCCCTCAAGGGAGGTTCCTTGACGCTTTTCAGGGGCTCTTGATATAGGGAATTGGATCTGTGCTCAGGTTCCCTGAACTGAGCCTGAATACCTTCCATCCCCCCCCCCCATGCGCTGTATAATCCTAGGGGTTTAGCGCTTCATTGTGATTTTAATAATAATCATTCTTTTCTAAGGAAAATTTATGCTGAAAGTTTCCTTTCATGTATCTCGGAGAAAAGACAAAGAAACCCCACAAGGCTGCGAAGAAGCTGATTAAACCAAGTGTTTTAACAAGGTCTGATGTATTTGGGAAAGAAACAAAGATACAAGACATTCTCTCCTTTCCACTGACAAAATTTATCGATGTATTAGCGACACGTCTAGAGATATTCGTGTTATTAAACAGATTTAATCTAGCCCAGGAAAAAATTCCAAGCAGCTTGATGAATTGTATGATGCTAATTTTGCACAACTTATGTGTTTGTCCGCTACATACATGAAAAAAAAGAAGAAAAAATGTCTTCTGCGACTCTCTCAGACTACAAAGGAAGATGACATAATGCAGAAAATAGAGAACCTCTTTCAAAGAAAGTCTCACATCAGACATTACGGGTCAATTTGTACTGATAGAGTCCCAGCTATAATATGAGACAAGTCAGGCTTTACTGCTCTTGTAAAGCAAAGGGCATCCCGTGGGATATAAACTGTTTTTTTTTTTTTTTACAAACATACGTTAGCTGCAAATCTGCAAAGGGATTTGTAGGCTAAGCTGAACGTGAGGGCACGAGATCATCAAAGTAATTTTGAAGATTTTTTGAACTTATATGAGGTCATCACTGAAGAACCTGGCTTGTTACCAAAGATAATTGAAGACGTCAACATATTTGAACACTGGCTACTTTTCAACAGACATGAATCCCACAGAAAGACTGGATATTAAGACCTTTCACCACTAATCTGTCTGAATGAATGATGACCACCCAACGAAAGGAAAGTTGATCAATTTACAACTTCTAATCTGAAAAAAAATAGTAAGAGTTGGTGTAGACATTAGGACGAAGCTCAAAGATTCATTCTCGCTTCTGACACAGCATGATTTCTAAGTGTTCTTTCCTTATGTCACCGCATACAGTATCTACGTGAATCCAGGTTCTCAATCTTAGTAGCGATGAATATATATAAAATGAGTCAAGACAACAATAATGATCTCGCTGATATTATTTTTAGTATTTTTATGTGATGGTGATTAATACGAGTGCTCCATGTTTTCTTTCTTAAAGTGCATTATGTACAATATGTTTCTCTCCTTTTTTTATGTTCGTCTGTGTCAAGAGTGTGTCGTCTTATTACAACAGTAAACGGCTGGTGATATGAAGCCTAGGGGGTAAGTGGCAAAAAAAAAAAAAAAAAAGAATCCCTGACGTGAGGACTCCTAACGTAGATATGCAACTCTGCTTGGCATTCCTGGGTCGGAATAAAATCATGTTCTATGGTAAGTCATTACAGTTACGCACTGTCTCGTTCATCTTCAGTCAGACTCCGTTACAGAGAAATAATAATGGATTGATATATCCCAGTGGGCTCAGCAAAAACTGTGATTACATTTGTTGTATGCAATCCTCATTTGTAATTCTTGATTATGCCAATCTGATAATTAAAAGTCATAAGTACAGACATGACAGATACAACATGTGGTCATTATAATCAATAATGTAAAAAATAAAATAAATCTGACATCTAGTTTAACCAAAATTGTGGAATAAACCAGAAATTAAACAGAAAATATTTCAGTAGCTGCAAATAATTAGAACTTAAGCTGCAAAATTCCTCCGGAGGAATTTTAAAACATTAATTCTGAGTCTGAAAGATACACTGTAGGGTTCACAATGTGCAGCCGTATTACTGTTAATTTAAGAAGGCAGGCGACTTCGAGCGGGCGGGCGGGCGGGCGGGCGGGCGGGCGGGCGGGCGGGCGGGCTGGTGGGCGGGCGGGCGGGCGGGCGGTGCGTAAGTGCGTACGTATGTAATCATTTATATGTATTCGCCTTTGAGAGGATGCAAGGGTAGAGTCGCAGTTTCCGGTCTCTCCTCATCGCTGGTCGCTACTAGGTTCACTCTCTCCTGGCATCGAGAGCCTTATCGTATCTCTTCTTACATAAAGCTATGTATGGATCCTGCCTCTATCATTTCATTCGCCATGTCGTTCCACGTCCTAACTACTCTATGAATGAAGAGATATTTCCTAACGTCCCTGTCACTCACCTGAGCTTTCAACTTGCCCCTGTGCCCTCGTGTTCCTAAATTCCTATTTCAAACAATTTGTGCCTATTCACATTATCAGTTCCACTCAGTATTTTATACGGTGTCATTATATCATCCCTAATTTTTATTGTCCTCCGGTGTCATCACTGATTTTCCTTAACCTCTCCTCACAGGACATACCCCTTAGCTCAGGGAAAAATCTTGCTGCAAACCTCTGTACTCTCCGAGTTCTTCGCATGCTTGGCCAGGTGTGGGCTCCATACTGGTTTTTCATACTCCAATACAGGCTTGACGCACACTGTATACAGTGTCATGAATGTCTCTTTACTTATATGTCTAAAACCTAGCCTTAGATTTGCCAGACGCGCATTTGCTGCAGCAGTTATTTGGTGGACGTGCGCCTCAGATGATATGATCGGTACAATTCTCTCCCCAAAATTCTTCCTTGAGTGAGGTTTACAGCCTTCGCTCCCATCCGCGGTCTTCTTTGCCCTTCCGCAAACTTCATAACTTGGTACTTGCTAGGGTTAAACTCCAGTATCCACTTGTCAGACCAGGCCTGCAGCCTGTCCAGATCTATTTGTAGCCTTTCGTGGTCCACGTCTGTTTGTATTCTCCTTATTAGCTTCACATCTGCGAACAGGGATACCTCCGACATCCCTTCCATCATGCCATTCAAGTATACAAGAAATAGCACCGGTTCTTGTGGAACCCCGATCGTCACATGAGCCCATTCAGACACTTTTTCACGAAAAATCACTCAGGTATGTCAGGTATGCCTTGATATACTGTAGTGCTTTTACTGTTATCTCTGCTTGCTCATCTAGCTTTTGTACCAGTCTCCTGTCCGGTACAAGAAGATGCAATCTACCCATCCCTCTCCTTCATGTATTACTTCTGTTACTTTATCGTAGAACTTTAGTAGATTTGTGACAAAGGATCTACCTTCTCTAAAGCCGTGCTATTTGTCCTTTCTAGGTGTTCCACCACTCTACTGAAAATCTCCATAAATTTACACACTACGCATGTCAGTGGTACTAGTCTGTAGTTTAATGCTAGCTGTCTGCTTCCTTTCTTAAAAATTGGACTACATTTGCTGTCTTCCACACCTCTGGCAGTTGTTTTGTTTCGATAGTTCTGTTGAAGACGGACGAGCAAGACTCATGGGCATGCCCGTGTGTGTGTGTGTGTGTGTGTGTGTGTGTGTGTGTGTATGTACTCACCTAATTGTGGTTGCAGGGGTCGATTCACAGATCATGGCCTCGCCTCTTCTTTGGTCACTAGGCTACTCCCTCCCTGCTCCGTGAGCTTTATCAGACCTCTTCATAAAGCTATGTATGGATCCTGCCTCCTTTACCTCCATTTAAAGACTATTCCACTTCC